TTTTACATACTTTTGCATTGCATTGTAATATTAGGATGAAATATTGTAGACTCAGCTGAAACAAGAAATGAGGCACCGGGAGGAGCTAGAGGCGAAGATGGAGGCAGAGCGGCAGAGGATGGAGGTAGAGCGACAGAGGATGGAGCTGCAGATGTTTGAATATATGAGGGGTGTTTACGCTGCAATCGGTCAACCTCCGCCACCGATGCTAGTCCCTCCTCCTCAACCTGCTCCAAATACTGTTTCAGGCGCTATGAGTCGCTTTACAACCTTATAATCACCGTTTCTAGTTTATGCAGAATCAATCTTACAAAGATGCCCAGACACTAGAAACTTAATGACTAATGTTATATGTTTGTTACCAACTAATACTTAAGCAATCATACTAGAGCACAATGTAACTGAGAAGATATTGCTCATAGTTGCAAGGGATATACTAGTTAGGCAGCAGAGAGACCATATGTGTTGTTCAATCTAATCTTACACATGTAATCTCTTCTCCTTTGTGCAGCATCAATCGGCGACATCGAATGAGCCTCATGACCCAACGTGGTCGCAGTGAAACTCGTGGCCTAAGTGAATACTTGTGATTTTATTTGCATTTGCATTTGTGGATTACCTGTGATTACTTATGGTTGTGAATGAACCTACCTGTGATTCTGAAGTTTATTTGCATTTATGTGTTGTCGATATATCTATATGAACTGTCTGTGATGCCTATTGTGAACTATGTGTGTTGCCTGTAATGTTTATTTGAGTGGGGTACGTTATACGTGACCGAACAGTAAAAACAGGGAATATATGGACGCTTTACCGAGTGTTACACTCGGCAAATAGGTATTTTGCCGAGTGCCAGAGTAAAAACACTCGGCAAAGAGGACACGTGGCCAAAATCTGTGCATTCTGGGACTAAATGGCTTCTTTGCCGAGTGTTTACGTTGTAACACTCGGCAAAGAAGCCAACATTTGTACGTTCTGGGTCAGTCTTTGCCGAGTGTCCGGGATTTGACACTCGACAAAGATGGCAGGTTTGCCAAGTGCCCGGGATTTGACACTCGGCAAAGAATGCATGTTTACTGAGTGTCAGATATTGGACACTCGACAAAGAATTCAGGTTTGCCGAGTGTCAGGTCCGGGACACTCTGCAAACGCGCCGTGACCGTCTCCGCGCCGTCGTGTTACTTTTTTTCGCCGAGCGTCAGTTTCAGCTCTCGACAAGGTGTTTGCCGAGTGCCCGATAGAAAACACTCGGCAAAGAAACGTTTGCCGACACTGTAGATGCCGTGTGCTGTTTACCGAGTGTTACACTCGATAAAGCTTTTGACGAGTATTTTTTTTTTGGGTAAAGTCACTGTTTCCGGTAGTGCCCTTTGACCAGAAACTAATGATTCTATGAATGGAGATGATATGTACCTAACGTCTTCTAATAACTGATGATACGCGGTCTGCGGTATGCACACGCATGCCCTCTTGGTCGTGGCTCTGCGTATGTGCATGAACCCGTGGAACGGAACGGATCAACCAATCAACACGTGCGAATGAGTTTGCCTTTTAAAACAACACGTCAACACGTCTTAAATTAATTAATTAGTGCAACTGGTTATTACAATTAGTCTTTTAATCCAATACATCCGAAACAAAACTTACCATTATATTGTCCATTTCCATTTTCTAGTTTTTTTTTTTTTTTGCCAAGAAGAGGGGATTCTACTAATTTAAGGTAAGGTAGCACAATTATATATCTCTGTTTACACGCAAGTCTCTAAACGTGAAGAAATATAAGCTAGAGTATATAAAATAATGATCTTCACCCCTGAACTATGTTGATAACTATCTAAGTCCAATCCATTGTAACTCAATAATGCAGACAATAGCCAAAGGAACATAACCCTTGCCAATCATCCTTAACCACTACTACAACAATCTTAACACAGCCAAGTAAAAACAGGTTAACCCTTGCCAATCATCCTTAACAACAGGCACCACAACTTGGAAACGTCGCATGATCCAATGCCATGAGAACTTCTCAAGACGCTTTTGGCACGTTGGAAGTACATCAACAGCCTCGTCGTCGAAGATATGGTCAAGGGACAATCAATCTGACACCTCCAGTACCAACACTGTTGGATCTATAGAAGCCTGGATACCTACTGGACATTGTGAGATCGAAATCCAACGAGCCAGTAACACATACATATGCAATCGGGAAACTCGATTATCCTCCCTAGTCACATCAACCCTGCAAAAACATAAGCAACATGAAGACTTTCTAGAGCAGATGCCTAGAGGGGCACCCACACTAGAGATCTATATGATAAATAAGATCTGATGAGCAATCGGCGAAGATGATACAGGCTAGCATCCCATGGAACAAGTTTTATTCAAACTAATATAATATCCTAAAAACTATTAAACTTAAGTAGCCTATTTCTTTAAGATACGTATGTAATTGACTGTTTGTCATGTATTATTGCAGACGGAGGGAGTACCGCGTAACAAATTATGACCTAGTGTAATGCGTGGAAAAAAAAAGAAAGTCATATAGACACTCGTATTTTTTTGAAACTATATAGATACTTTCTATTGGCATTGCCTCGAAATTTTTTTATGAGAAACATTATTTTGGAAAAACTCGTAGAAAAAAATATAATATATACCTCATCTGTTCTAAATTATAAATCGTTTTGGCTTTTCTAAATAGACATAAGTAGTATCTCTACTCCCTCCATCTCAAACTTTAAGTTATTCCAATAATCTCAAAGCATCTCAAGTTTGACCAAATTTATATGATAAGATAATAACATTTAGGATACAAACTAAATATCATTAAGTACTTCATTAATTATATTTTTATAGTATATCTATTTGATATTATAAATCTTTGTAATTCTCTTTATAATTTTGGTCAAACTTGAGATGCTTTAACTCTCCAAAATTCTTGAAATGACTTATAATTTGAAACGGATGGAGTAAATGTATAAAAAATATGTGAAAAAATCAAAATGACTTGCGGATAATTTAAAACAGAAGGAGCAATATTTAAATGTCAAAACATGCTACGAATCCTTCCAAGCCGCTCCAAACATGGCCCATGCCGCTCGCCGCTTTATTCGGTGGGCCCACGCAGCCACCTCCAAGCTTCCGCTGCACTGCTCTTCTCTGCTCTGCTCTTCTCTTCTCCTGAGTCCTGCCTGGCCGCTGCCTCGCATTTTTCTAATCCTTTTTATTACTCGTTAATTAATAATTAACTAATCGCGTTGCGTTTCTTTCTTTTCGTCGGGTTGGGTCTTTGGAGGCTGCCTGCCCGCCCGTGCCTGGGAAAGTCGAGAGCCGCCCCTGCTCGGCTGCTCCTCCCCTCTCCAGCTCTCCTCCAACTGTCCCCCAAACCTCTGTTCCTCGCTCGCGACGGCCTCGGCCTCGGCCTACCGCCGGCGAGCGATGGAGCGGCGGTCCGTCCGCTTCGTGCCATCCGAGGTGCGCACCCGCCCCGCGCGCCATTCCTCTCCTTCCTCCTCCTCCCGCGCCGCCGCGGTGGCGCTGGGGTCTGTACTGTTGTTCATCGCGTCTTCGCTGCCCCGGTGCGGGTTGGGTTATTGCTGCTGCAGGCGTGAAGAATCCTTTTTTTTCCTGTTTGATCGGATGACGTTCGAGGATTCTTGCGTGCGCACAAGATTGGTTTGGCTGCTCGCGTGGTGCTCCGCAGCAGGCTGCCTGCCGGGGTTTTTGGTGGGGGTTTATTGGGGGGTTTCTTTGCCCTCCTGTTTGGGTCCCCATTGGCCGGCTTCTGGGGCAATGGGAGCTTCTCTTCTCTCCAGGAGGAACTTTGTTGGGATTCCCTGTGCTCGTGCCTTTACCTGTCCGCGATCGCATTTTCCGGTGGCTTCGGGGGCGACCATTCTGATGATTCTGAATCCTCGCCGGGTTGCTTGTGCATGCGATTTTTGGTTCTTGATTAGGTCGCCAATCGCTCGGTCCGAGCTGCGGTAGGCTGCTCCGGTAGAAGTTTTTTTTTATCTACTAGGGTTTTGTTCATGCGTCAAAGATGCCCAATAGTAGGGGCAAATCGCAATTGCTAGTTTAGGTAATCAATTCGTGCTACGGGACAGAAAGGAATTGTTTGATTATTGCATTGATGCATACATTTAGTTAATATACTTGCAGAATTGACCACACCAATGGTTAATACCAAAGTAGATTGTTCAGCGCATTCTGGGAATTTGTAATATTTCGCTTAATGGATAGCAACGACTTACAATTTGGAACAGAGGGAGTATAACTAAGGTTTGTCTTTTGTGCCAAGTGATGATCCAGTGGCAGGTGCAAAATGTTCTTTTAGCTAACCAATTTGTGAAACGTGAGAAAAGGGATTGTTTGATTGTTCAATCGATACATTCAGTTAATACATGTAAAATTCGCCACAGTGGTAGTCAAATTACCAAAATGTTCCCCCTAGTCTTATTTGTGCTGGCATTTGATAATGGGGATTGGGAACTGAGTCCTTATATCATATCAGATCATTGTACCAAGGGCATTGCTGTGCTGAGGACTGTTAGGTTGTGAGAGTGAATAGGTCTCGGGAATTGATTGATAGATTAGCAGCAGTACAGGGTACAATATATAGGCAAGGATCAATAGGGTTTATAGAAACACCCAATCAACGGTGATCCTTGCCTTATCAATGTAATCTATCTATCTTAACCCCTAAGGCAGCCAGCCTAACAGGCTAGGCGCCAGGCCCAAGGCCAGCCCATTAGGGCGCCTATTCTAACAGGTTGTAGGGTCAAACATTATAAATGGCCTATTCTTTTAGGTCCACCCACTTTTGTGTTCCACAGAATTATGGATCCTCTCTTCATCGATCAGTACACTATGTTAATATGGAGTTGCTATTGCATTTCAAGTAGTTTTGGAGTATATATATCATGCTAGTTTTATTAGATATACTTCTCTGCGTTTTCCATTATAGCTATCTTGAAATACTCCTGGTACAGATTGCAAGGATGGAGAAATTGGCTGCAGATAGAAAAGAGCAAGTCTTTGATAACAAGTTCTGCCAGAAGCTTGCAGAAGAATTTAAGTAAGTCTCATATTGTTACTTTGTTCCAACTTCCTCGTTAGTTTGAAACATAACCGAAAGAGTACAGGTTTTTATCGAACTTTCCAATTGAAACATATAGCACGATTGAGATATCCTGTATTGTTCTCTTCTAAGCAAGAGTCTCTTGTAGCTTTTTGCTTGACAGTATTAGTACAGGGTGTTGTGAATCTGAAACCCATCCATTTTATAGTTTAAACATTGGGTTGCATACAATAGTTTTAAAGTGATGCTGATGTGTGATTACATTTTCTGTTCTTATATACAGTCGTTCTGCTGGCCGTGCTGGAAGTAAAGCGTTACAGGCTACACAGGTGATGATACCTTAATATGCCCCATATTTTACCAATTGTGCACTTGCATGACCTATTGACATCTATGTCTATAGGTTCAAGGATGGTTCCTTAATAAGTTTCCAGCATCAGCCACTAAACCTACTTGTGTGCCCACTGCTTCCCAAGAAAAGACTTCAGCCTCAGAAGTAAATGTATCAGTTTCTGAAAAAAGATCTGCAGCTTCTGAAGAAAAACATGTGTGCCCACTGCTTCCTAAGAAAAGTACTTCAGCCTCAGAAGTAAATGTATCAGTTTCTAAAAAAAGATCTGCAGCTTCTGAAGAAAAACTTTTCCCTCTTGATACAAGTGTTTCAAATAATGAGGATGAGTTTTCTCCTGTTTTTCCATTAGGTATTTTCAAACATAGATCTGTTGATTCTGGAAAATTCAATGCTTGGTGCTTGGCAATGAAATGCTGTATGTACTCTTCTTTTCAGAAACTAGAGATATGATTCCTGAACTTGAAGACCTGGAGTTTGAGGCCAAGTCTGCAAAGGATTCTGCATGGTAGATATCCTTGCACAGGCAACTATTCTATTGTTTCCTTTGTCCGTTTCTTCCACTTACTTGCAATAATTCGGTTCATTTCTTGCCTCATTTGTTGGCCTCGGTGACTGTTATACCCTGGTTTACTGTTACAGTACTTGGACATCTGTTGTTCAGCATGATTTTGTTGGTGAATACTAAATATTGAACAGAATACAATGATAGATAATATAAGTGATCTCATTATTGGATGTACTAGTTCGTACCGAGCCTACAGTCTGTAATCCTCAATTATTTGCACTATCCTGGTAAGGCTAATGATGTTTCTTTAAACTATGGTACTAATCCTATATGATCTTGGCAGTGGTGTGACATAGATGTTTAGTGTTGCTAGCTGGGACATTAGGATGCATATGCTTGCATCATGTTGGTAGCACCACCTGTGGGGTTGGCATTTCAATCGTCTGGTAGCCAATTTCAGTGTCATGAGATGCTATTTTTGTGCTATGCAGGTATGACATTGCCATGTTCTTGGCACACAGGACGAACAAGGCGGGTGAAGTAGTAAGAATAACTGATATCTTATTACATTTTCATATTTAACCATGTGGCTCCTTAGTTTTTGGAATGCTTCTAGAGGCTGTTACCTCTCTAATATAGTTTTCTTCGTTATGTTTTCTTTATTGTTTGTACAATAGCATATTCAAAGTTCAATTTCATCCTTTTGTAACTCGATATTTCTGTACTGTTGTTTTAGGAAGTCCGGGTGAGATTCGAGGGTTTTGGGGCTGATGAGGATGAGTGGGTGAATGTCAAGAAGTTCATCCGCCAGCGTTCCATTCCTGTGGAGTCCTCACAGTGCAAAAGCATTGTTGAAGGAGACCTTGTCCTCTGCTTCAGGGTAAGTGGATCACAATTTTCCTGTAGTAATAGCAGCAGCATGAAACCTGGTAGAGCGATACCATTAGATCATATGTTGTTCCTTCTGTTACAGTGATTTGAACATCAGGAGGGAAAAACGGCGAGGCAATGCATTTCGATGCACATGTTGTTGATACCCTTTTAAAGTTCATCCATTAGGCTCTTCCTTTTTCTTACTGTGATTTGAACGTCAGGAGGGAAACGACGAGGCATTGCATTTCGATGCGCATGTTCTTGAGGTTACGCGGAAGCAGCATGATATTAGGGGGTGCAGATGTGTATTCCTTATTGAATACGATCATGACCAAAGCCAGGTATTTTCAACCAACCAACCATACCCTAGCCAATCATTGATCATCTAATCATAGATAGAGTGATATTGAGAAGCCTCTCTTTTGGCTGATGACAGGAGCGGGTGAGCCTGAGAAGATTGTCTCGGCGGCCAAAGTACTTCTGAAGGCTCCTGTTAGCCTGATGGGCATATCTATCTGGAACTGGAACTAACCAGAACTTGAAACTTAGGTGAAGTTAGGGGGATGGACTTTGTGGCGTCCTTGATCTGATCATGTGTGTACTAGCAACCGGCATGGGCTTGCATTCCAACCTCTTTGGCACAGGGCTGCCCGGACTGGCTGTTGGCGGCTGAATTTTGTAGACTTGTTACGGTGCGGAAGAGGGAAGAGGACGCCTTGAGCACATACTGTGTATAATGCGGTCTATATGCTTTGCTATTTCATGTTCTTGCAGCATTTATCTTGTTTCTCTTGATCCAAGGTCTGGGAGGATTTCGCTCTCCGTCGCCGGCGCTCTCACCGGCCGGGTGCCGAGAGGGAGGGGGCCTTGTTAGCTAGTGCCTGTGTTATATAGCTTTCGGGCAGATTTGTCCACCCCACCACCGTCTTCATCTGCACGTTTTCCACCTTTCTATTCGTTCGCCTTCGTTGTTGAACCAGCCTTATGCACTGAGGATCTGGTCATACTGTATGCACTGAGGATCTGGTCGGCTAGTCTGGTGCGATTTTGGCCGTATTCACCGCCTCCACCAGAACACTAGCATTTGTCCGTGTGCCTCTTTTGTGCCCTGGCATGGTCCTTATTGTGCGTCAAGTTCCCGGCGCCGTGCATGGCTTCTGCATCAGACGCCTCCATCGGTCCGTTCATCTCCGGGCGACGGCCAGGCCGTTCAAATACTATAGCCTTCTCGTAGGTGACGATGGCAGTTCATGCTGCCTGTGGCTGGTATATGGTACTATAGCTCAATCAATTGGAACACCTGAAGCATCAACAAACTAGGGACATCATCGGCGTCAGTCGACGGTGAGCCGGCCAAGGCAAAAGGAATCCATGTGACCATGTCGCCTTCCAGCCTTGTTTAGACGCTATCGTATTCATCTCAATCCACATGTGTTGGAGTGGATTGGGGTGCAATTTAGTTCAAGTTCCACCCCAACACACGTGAATTGAGGTTAATACGATAACATCGGTCTTGGCACGCACATCCAAACAACCGTGGGTTGCAAGTGGTCTTGGCACGCCCTTGTCGGGAGTTCTTTGTTACACGTGTATTTTGCTTCTTGTGGGATATTTTCCCTGGTGTGCATTCTACTAGTCCGGTATCGCGCGCTACGCTGCGCGGCCTAGGTGAATGGTATGGAAATATGAACAGAGCTGGGAGCAGAAACAAAAAAAAAAGTATAACAGTGTTGTATATACTGGATAAACAGCTATGAACAATATATTCAGACGGTGTACATGAATGAATAGTGAGAAACATCGTTTTACAGCATCTGAAACTGTGATGGTTACTGTTTGAACACGATGTCCATGTTTAAACGTGTTTAATTGTGGGCAACAACGTTTTGCCATGTTCGTTTCGCTGAAATTTGGTTTATGCTGGTGCTTATGCTGATTTGTTGTGAGAGGAAAACATTGTTTGTTCGCTGAAAAGTACTGCTGCAGAACAGGATAAATGTTCATCGAATGGAGAGTAATGAACAGTGACAAAAATATTGCTTCAACAGTGACTGAGGCGCTGAGCGTCCTGAGATTTATTCCCGGATGAGGGTTACTTAACCCCCGTTCCTAAATAATTATCGCTTTTAGTTTCCGTACCATAAGTTTAATTGGATTTATAGAAAAAATACGTGCAACATTTATATCTCTAAATAAATTAATTATAAAAATAAATTGAACGATCTATGATATTAATTTTGTATCATAATATTAATATTATATATATATATATATATATATATATATATATATATATATATTTAGTCAAAGTTGTTTCTTAGGAAGTGAAAACGATAGTTATTTAGGGACGGAGTGAGTACCTCAGTTTGAGGAGGGTAGATGTACTGTACTCCATAATCTTAATACATATATACCAAAGTATTTCAGGAAAAGAAAGTATGGAAGAGGTTTTAAGGTAGCTTGAGGTAGCCTAACTGTAGGTAAGAGAATTGATAACAAACAGAAAAAAAATGACAAAGGTCGAATAACAGTCACTTTCAACAGAGCCCGTCTAGCTCAGTCGGTAGAGCGCAAGGCTCTTAACCTTGTGGTCGTGGGTTCGAGCCCCACGGTGGGCGTTTGTCTCTTTTTGATGTTTTGTTTTTTTCCCTTGTGATGCTGTTGTTGTCTGTGTCTCATTGGGAGTGTCAGAGTGTCAGATTAGTGAGTGGCAGGACCGCAGTAGTACCGGACTGGAGCAAACAGCAGAGCTTCCACTTGCATCCTTCAGCTCCCAGTCGGTACCTTTTTTTTTTTTGAAAAATTATGGTCTCGCCCTTATCCAGCAGTCCAAATATGATTTTACTTTTATTTTTTTCAGCAATGCCGTAAGCGGAACATTCGACGTTTCGGACGCACGTCAGATAAGACTCGACCAGCCGCGAGCAATGCACCTCCTGGCTCCTTATCCGTTCCCATCCCGTCCACCGTGACCCCCCGTGCCAACTCTCTGTTCCGCTCGCCCGCTCCTCCTCTGCGCTGCTACTTTCCAGGACGGACGCCACGCTCGTATCTAGCTCGTTGCCGCCCCGCCTGTTCGTGCTCCCTCCCTCGCTTTGCGACCTCCATGCAACCGGAGAGAGGGCGATGGCAATGGCTTCCAACGAGGTAGGTGGGTCCTCTGGATCTGAGCCCTCCTCCTCTAGATCTAGATCTGAGGGACGTGACGGTGGCTAGGGTTCCGGCAAGCTCTGTTGCAATATGCTTGTTTCGCTGTTGCAACAAGTAATTTTCTTTGTTCATTAGTCTTTTTTTTCCTGACGTTGCATCTCACATCGCACTTTGTTTCTGTTGTTGCAGTAGCTTTGGTTTGTTGTTGCAACAAGTAATTTTTCTTTGTTGCGTTAGTCTTTTTTTTATGTTGCATCTCGCATTTCCTTTTTTGTTTCTGTTGTTGCAGTAGCGTTTTTGCTGTTGCAACAAGTAATTTGTCTTTGTTGCATTAGTCTTTTTTTTTTCTGATGTTACATCTCGCATTGTGCTTTTGTTTCTATTGTTGCAGTAGCTTTGGTTTGTTGTGGCAACAAGTAATTTTTCTTTGTTGCATTAGTCTTTTTGTTTCTGATGTTGCATCTCGCATTGCGCTTTGTTTCTGTTGTTACAGTAGTTTTGGTTTGTTGTTGTAACAAATAATTTTTTTTGTTGCATTGGTCTTTTTTTTCGATGTTGCATCTCGTATTGCAGTAGCTTTGTTCTTTTTGTTGCAGTCGCTTTTATTCTGATGTTGCAGTAGATTTGTTCTGATGTTTCATTTCGCTTTGTTTGATGTTGCAAACAATTTTTTTGATGGGAGCGCGGTGAGGATGCGACACACCTAGCGTGGACGCGGCGGGGGGATGGGCGGCGCGACAGGATGGCGGGAGACAGGCGGCGCGACGGGATGGGTTACAGGCGCCGCGGTGGGATGGCTGGGGGACGGGCGGGGCGGTGGGATCTCCTGCGGGGGCTAGGCAAACGGATGGAGATAAGGATGGGGATGTGGATGAGGTGCGGAAGCGCGAGGTGCGGGCATGTCAGGGCTTGTGTGGGGGCATCCGATGGAAGCGGCTCGCATGCATGCGTGTGGAGAGCGGGTTGGTTGCGGGCGGGCACACATGCAGGGGCAGCATCGTGAGCGTCCGGACGTCCAGGCGCTAGCAGTTCCGTTTTTTTAGCTTTATGATTTTGTCTTTATTATTTTCAAATGAATAATACTGGGCTCACCCGCGGCGCTTGATGCGGGTGCCGTGCGGCTCAGCGCGCAGGACAGTAGCCAAGCGGGGGCGTCGGCGGCGCATCCAGCGGTGGAGTCCGCCGGCGGCAGCATGTGCTTGCTGCCATGGCTAGCAGCTTTCTCGTTATGGTGCTGCTGGTCCCTGGTCGTCGTCATCGTCGAGGCTGCTCTGCAGTTCGTAGCTTCTTGAGCCTTGCTTCTTGGTGGAGTCCCTGTTGCTGTGTTGCACGAACGAGATATGCTTGGCTGAGATCATTTCAGGGATTATGTCTTCTTGCTTTGGTGTTGGGGTGATCTCTGAACGACTGATGGATTCTATTGTTGCCGTAATGCTTTCAAAATTTTGCTAAGATGCTACTAAAATTTTGAATGTTTTTTTAATATTAAATCTGATTTGAAATAATTGTAAATTCTGCGAAATTTATTTGGTCAAATCTAACCATTTTTTTTTGACAAAATGTCTTATTCTAAATCAGGAGTAAAATCACAAATAGCTTTAGAAACAAGGGGCAAAATCATATAGGTATATTTGTCCTTTTGTATAAAAGTTAACACCATTAAGGAAGTACGATAGAATAGGGATAAAGTGGTGCTTCGTTTTGAAAACGCAGAGTAAATTCATAAAGTAGAAAAAACAGAGGTAAAACCACAATTTCAATATAAAATAGGGGTAAGAATGCAAGAGTTTTTTTTTTATAGACAGTCTGTGCCCTTTAGGAACTCTGCATTCTGTCGAGAGAGCCAAACAGAGCAGCAACAGCAAGCCATGCAGATGAGATGACGACGCGCTTCGCGACAGGTCGGAGAGATTACGGACGGAAGAATCCCACGGGATTCCAGATGAAATGAAACAGCTCAATTCTGTCACGATACATACAAGCACTATACAGCTATAATAATTAATAAAAAAAAGGTTTGATTAACGCATGGCATGTATCCCAAATCAGCGGCTTAACGCATGGTGCGTTTGACAGGGTGTGCGCTCCCCTGCGTTTGTTTCTTCTGAGTCGACGACAGGCACCAGATAGATGAATCATCATCAGCATTCAGCATCATTCATCCCCTGCTCGATCGGCGGTTGGCGCTTACCAGATCCTCGTCGATATCTCGCTCGGCTATCGGCTATCAATTTGTTTTAAAATAGTCCTTTCATACGGTGCGATTATAAATAATACACAATATTTTTTTAACGACACCGACTCGAGGGGATCGCAGTCGATAAATAGATCGGAAGGAACTGCCATCATTTACGCCTCACCGACAAGACTGTCCCCACGCCACGTTAACGACATGTAATCCTATCACCTGTGCTCGACTCGGGGAGGTCGGCAGTCGGCACCAAGCGACCAGATCGGAAGGAACTGCCACCTACCTACCTTTCCCTGCCTCACCGACATGTGGGACTGTCCCCCACGCCACGCTGGATTGACAATTGTGCAGCATCCCCATCACATGCACAATTGTGTGGCCTGACTTTGAGACCTGAGCTGGGGCTGCCTAGCTACGCGCCGAGGCCGAGTAAACAACCTCGCGCTTCGATCGCTTTCGCCGGCTCTCCTCTTTCTCCACGAGCATCCAACTTCCAACCCATCGTTTCTACTTCATCATATATGCAGGCCAAAGCCCAAAGCCATGACATTTCTCAAAAAAAAAAAAAAAAAACCCAATGCCATGCAAAGAATGTCTCAAACCGTCAAACGCTAGTTGCCGGATCGGAAAAAAGGGCACCTAGTACTGGATTGCCTCAAAGAACTTGTATGCGGGCTAGCTCGATTTGCCCATGCATCACACACAGCCTGACGTTTCTTCTTTTGAATTTGAGGCTTGAGAGCTGTCGGGTCGGGGTGTGCATCATCCGCGTGGTGTTTTGGTGGACTCGGCGCACCAAACAGCAGGCATGGGCAGGACAGCCGCGTGAACGAACGCCCAAGGCCAAGGACCTGCTGGTACTGATCTACGCGCAATTAATTGTGACCGCGTCACTCGCAGCTAGTGCGCGTCTGTACGCGTCAAGGTACAAAAAAAACATCTAAATATGACATACCGAATGATTTTAGTTGCGCTTTGTGATGGTAGATTTTGCAAAATTAAAAAGCTACCCATACAAAAAATATATAATGGCACTTTCTCTATCCTCATCAATGCTATGCAAGAAGCCGAAAGAGAGTTTTCTCATAAAAAATGACATGTTTAAACATAAAACTTGGACTCGACCAATTAACAATCTAATTTATATAATTTACCCTTTTTCTTTACTCAATTATGAAACCACTAAACAAAAAATATATAACTTCATTGCAATCATGTGTACGGTGCTTGCAAACCACCCATCGAAACTTCAAATCAACATATCGAGCTATTTTCAACTTCAATATGGCACCGAATGTTTATGGGTTTTGAATCAACACACCCAATTAGTTTCAATTTTCTGTACGAAATTTACACCAGTGTGTACTACTACTTACCCATGCTTTTTGTCATCGTAGAAAGGTAAACACGGTAAAGGAAAACCCCACTAGTTAAACCCAGCTGCGAGAGTACCCCTTGCAATTTACCCCGGGAATTGCCATCTCCCTCGGGTTTCCCTCTTTTTCTCTCCTCATCACCCCCCGCGACGAAAAGCGGCCCCATCTCTCTCTCCTCCCCGCTCCGGACCGGAGCCTCCTCTCTCCACTAGAGAGCGCGGGACCTAGCACGAGAGGGAGGGAGAGAGAGAGAGAGGGAGAGAAGCAAGCCGCGAGGTCACCGTCGCCGCCGCGATGGCTCGCCTGTTCCGCGAGTCCCGCCGCGACTCGTCCCACTCCTCCTCCTCCAACGGCTTCCTCCCGCCGGCGGCCGCTTCCACCCCCTCCTCCGCCGCCTCCGCGCTGCCCTCGCCGTTCCCGGACCTCGGGGTCGCCCTCTCCGCCGCGGACCTCCGGGAGGCCGCCTACGAGGTGCTGGTCGCGGCCTCCCGCACCACGGGCGGGAAGCCCCTCACCTACATCCCGCAGTCCTCGTCGGTGGCCGCCGCGGGGCCGCCGGCGTCCCCGGCCTCCTCCTCCGCGTCCTCGGCGTCCTCCGCCTCGCTCCAGCGCTCCCTCACCTCCGCCGCCGCCAGCAAGATGAAGAAGGCGCTCGGGCTCCGCTCCTCCGCCTCATCCAAGGGCGTCGGCAGCCCCGGGAGTGGCGGGAAGGCGGCGGCCCCGCGGAGGCCCGCCACGGTTGGGGAGCTCATGCGGGTGCAGATGCGCATCTCCGAGCCCGCCGACACCAGGATCCGCAGGGGGCTCCTCCGCATCGCCGCCAGCCAGGTAGGATTTCGCGGTTTGGCTGCTGAGATTTCCGCTGGAATGCAGCTTGGGTTTCTGCTCTTTGACTGACCCTCGTTCCAATGCTGCTGTTGGTGGATTGTGGTAGTAGATCTGGAGTCGGTCAAGCGTGCCATGGTGTTCTCGGAGTTTGTTGAAGGGTCGGTCGAAAATTCAAATTTAGCTAAAAATGCACCTATTTTCTTATTTTATTTAAAAATTATACTATGTCTTGGATATTTTTAGTTCAGGATTGGAATGCCGTTGTCAAACATGCGGCATTTTTATAGGGACGGGAGTGAAATGACTTCTCTCTCCCTTTTTTTTGTCAGATCTTGTAATTTGGGTGTCGGCTGCAGCAGCTGTTATTAATATTTGTTGCCTTCAGATACCTAATTAATTTTTTTTCCTAGCTTCATTGAATATAAAATTGCATCTCTCTACTTTGTAGTCACGACCTTTGTTTGTGAATTCTTACCTTGGTATAGGGTTTTCGTGATAAAGTGCCAAGATGAATTAGGAATGCACATACTCCCTCCGTTTTAATCTGTAAGTCAGTTTTAGTTTTGTCCCATGTCAAACTCGTCTAACTTTGACCAAGTTTATATAAAACATATTAACATCTACAATATCATATAAGAGCATATATATCAAAATATATTTCATGGTCTATCTAATAAATCTTGCTTGATGATGTAGATGATTGTGCATATAACTGTAAACTCGGTCAAAGCTAGAGAAGTTTGACTTAGGACAAAGCTAAAATAACTTACAATTTGGAATGGAGGAAGTAAATTTTTAGGACAAGACACATAATTCACTCATCTTGATTGGACTGTGGTTTCTTTCCGTCTTTTATCTATTTTCTTTTGCAAGGGTAAAATTGGCAATTCATGTGCTGCTATACATTTGCATTACACAACCAACACTTTCTACATTGTCCTGATTTTATTATGATTGAGCTTCTTTGGTATGAACCATATCCTGAGCTTGCTAGGTTCACATCTTGGGTTTTTTCTGTACTATCTGCAATTGCAAATGTAGCTCTATATGTTCTGACACTCCGTATACTCCCTCTGGCATCTTGGTATTTAGTGGTAGATGGTCTAGTAGGCCTTTACTGTGTTGTTTAGAGTGTAATTAGTGACCCAGTTTGTTTTCATGATTGAAAGGATGATCACCGAACTTTGTATGGGCATGCCATAGTTATCACTAGATGCTTAATGGTTTAGAGTGTCAATTGTGAAATGGTCTCCAAAAGTTCTCTTGCGTCTTTGTTTGCTTGGTTCATAGTAACTCATTAGTGAACGTGAATGTGGACAATTTGTAAAAGATGCAGTGATGCAGGTTCAATCAAATTTAGATAAAAACTGTAATTATAGCGTGTTTCTGTTGAAATATCATCATCAATTTGGTGGGATTTTATGGGGTTTATTGAAGTTTTTTTTAATACATTCTTACATTTTTCATGACACAGCTTGGCAGACGTGCAGAATCTATGGTGCTGCCCTTGGAATTCTTGCAGCAATTCAAGGCATCAGATTTCCCTGATCCTCAAGAGTATGAGGCATGGCGGAGTAGGAATCTGAAGCTCCTTGAGGCTGGTCTACTTGTTCATCCACTCGTTCCATTAAACAAATCAGACAGTTCTGTGCAACGGTTGCGGCAAATTATACGGGGTGCATATGACAGGCCACTTGAAACTGGGAAAAACTCCGAGTCAATGCAGGGCCTACGTACTTCTGTCATGTCCCTTGCTGGAAGATCTCATGATGGAACTTCTGATGGATGCCACTGGGCAGATGGCTTCCCCTTGAATCTCCATCTGTACCAAATGTTGGTAGAAGCTTGCTTTGATAATGATGAGGGAACTGTGGTCGATGAGATCGATGAGGTGATGGAGCTCTTGAAGAAGACCTGGGTTATTCTTGGAATCAATGAGTTGCTCCACAATCTTTGCTTTACTTGGGCATTGTTCAACCATTTTGTTATGTTTGGTCAAGTAGATATCGAGCTGCTTTCTGCGGCAGAGAACCAGTTAGCTGAAGTAGCTAAGGATGCCAAGACCACAAAAGATCCAAATTACTGTAAAGTATTGAGTTCAACATTAAGCTCAATAATGGGCTGGACAGAGAAAAGACTTCTGGCATATCATGAAACCTTCAATACAAGTAATATTGAGTCTATGCAAGGCATTGTCTCCATTGGAGTGTCAGCTGCAAGGGTTCTTGTTGAAGATATATCCCATGAATACCGCCGTAGAAGAAAAGAAGAGACTGATGTAGCTCGAAGCAGGGTAGAGACATACATAAGGTCTTCACTACGCACAGCTTTTGCTCAAGTAAGTCTTGTTAGTCGTAAATAGCATCCTCAATCTTTGGTTTAACATATATGAATAATAATGCTGTTTCTGTACCTCAAAATACCTATGTGCATTTTGTTTTTGTTTTGCCACATCAATTTATTGCTCACAACCCATCCCATGTTTGGTAAAAGGAATGGCTAGCAAGTTTTAACCTGGAAACTACAGAAAATCATTTTCCTCGATCTCAAGTTATATTTGTACTTAACTGTTCTCTTTTATGCATGCTTTGAGATGCTAAGTTTCATAAAATTGATATTTTTTGGTATAGTGCACCAGCTCTTCTGTTATTGACGTTACTTTGACCTGTGTAGAGAATGGAAGAAGCAGATTCAAAACGATCATCAAGAAACCCTACTCCAGTTCTTTCTATCCTTGCGAAGGACATTGGTGACCTAGCTATGAAGGAGAAAAATTTGTACAGTCCAATACTGAAGACATGGCATCCCCTTGCTTCAGGCGTTGCTGTTGCAACTCTTCATTCTTGTTATGGAAATGAGCTGAAGCAGTTTGTAGCTGGGCTTACAGAGCTGACCCCTGATACAGTTCAAGTACTTAAATCAGCAGACAAATTAGAGAAGGACCTTGTTAATATTGCTGTAGAAGATTTTGTGGATAGTGATGATGGAGGCAAGTCACTAATCAGAGAGATGCCGCCATATGAAGCTGAAAATGCAATTGCTAATCTGGTGAAAGTGTGGATAAAAGAAAGAGTAGACAGACTCAAGGGATGGGTTGACCGGAATTTGAAGCAAGAGGTGCTCATTTTCTCCCTTTCACCATCAGACCTTAATTTCTCGATATAAATAGAGTCATAATTCAGTAACCAATGCCGTGTGCTGTTGTAGTTTAATTTTTTAATCCATTTTCTGTATATATCTGATCTATCTTAAACGTGCTGTAGTAGCAATGTATTATCCTATTATATACTTAACTAAAGTGGACTGTTTTTTCATCTAATCCATAATCAGTGATGTTATTTACTAAGCACTCATCTTTGATGCATAATGCGTTTGCCTATTTTGTCCATGCTACTTTTCCATGTCCATCATCCATTTGCCACTTATCAATGGTTACAAACCTCTGAAGTGAGCCCCTGTGCGTTCAGTACATGATACAGAGTTCTGTTATGCCTAGCTTGAAACTTGTTTCTATGGGCTTTTGCATGATTTCTGAGCCACTAAACCTGGTAAAATCTTTTATGCAGACCTGGAATCCAGGTGCCAACAGGGAGAATTTTGCTCCCTCTTCTGTGGAGATGCTTTGGGTTATTGGTGAAACGTTGGATGCATTTTTCCAATTGCCTATACCAATGCATCCAGCTCTTCTTCCTGATCTGACAGCTGGGCTCGACAGAATCCTACAGCTTTATGTTGCTAAAGTAAAATCTGGCTGTGGTAAGTACTAGGTAAAGGTTAAGTAATTTTTGTTAATGATATTCCTTTGATGAACCTCATTTCTGCTTTTGTATCACTGAACAGGAACACGGAGTTCTTTTATGCCCCAACTACCTCCACTAACGCGATGCGAGGTTGGCTCCAAGTTATTATTCAAGAAAAAGGAGAAACCACAAAATCTGCAGGTTCGCGTATCACAAAATGGAGCAGCCAATGGCAATGATCCCTTGGGCCTTCCTCAACTTTGTGTGCGCCTGAATACGCTTCAGTACATCCGTGGTGAGCTTGAGAACCTAGAGAAGAAAATAAAAACGAGCTTGCGAAATGTTGAGTCAGCTCAGGCAGATATCACTGATGGATTGGACATCAAGTTTGAGCTTTGTCAGGCAGCCTGTCAAGAAGGCATTCAGCAGATTTGTGAGACGACTGCGTATAAGGTGACGTTCTATGACTTGGGCCATGTTCTCTGGGACACCCTTTATGTTGGGGATACTGCATCAAACAGGGTGGAGGTACTGTTGAGGGAACTTGACCCTGTCCTTGAGACAATATCTGGTATGGTGCACAACAAAGTGCGGAACCGTGCTATTACTTCACTGATGAAAGCAACTTTTGATGGTTTCTTGCTGGTGCTTCTTGCTGGTGGGCCTTTGCGTGCTTTCACCCGTCAAGACAGCCAGATAATAGAAGATGACTTCAGGGCCCTTAGAGATCTGTATTTAGCAGATGGGGATGGTTTGCCAGAGGAATTAGTTGACAAGGCATCCTCTCAGGTCAAGAATGTCCTGCCCCTCTTTCGAGCAGACTCTGAAAGCCTCATTGAGCGATTCAAACGCATGATGGTTGAATCGAATCGGTCTACGTCCAAGAACAGGTTACAAATGCCTCCAACAACAGCGCATTGGAGTCCAAATGAGCCTAACACAGTCCTGCGAGTTCTGTGCTACCGGAGTGATGAGACAGCTACAAAGTTCCTCAAGAAAACTTACAGCCTACCGAAGAAGATTTGACTTGTGGGATAGATCACAAACCATATGTACATTTTCCTGTCACAATCTCTGGCCGAGGACTGAGGAAATACCCACTGTAAAGTTTCCACAGCAAAGACGCCTCGTCGAGTGATTGTCAACAAGAAGGTTTATTCTGTGGTGCTGGAGAGATGTGTCTGGGTGTTTTCGGCGGTTCGTGTCATGGATAGCTTTTGGGGTGGAGGGTGGATTACTTACAGCGGGATTTGTTCATTATATTATATATGTTTGCCTAATCCAGTTCTTTTGCTGACCTTGTGCTCGTGTAATTTGATTCATTCTAGTTTGCAACAGCTATACCCAGCGTGTGAATAAGTTGTGTGCTCGCGTGACACTGTCTGGTGCTTTTGATGTTACAATATGAGGGGCATCTGTATATTTTTACTGCATCGTGCACTCCAGTACTTTTACAGCTTTCTCCACCATATCCTTGTTGGATCTGTTCTTCACAGTTCAATCGATCGTGTTCAAAGGATGCTGCATTCCAGTGTCATGTAATCTGTAACGAGTGTTGTTTGGTTATGCAACTATTTCATGTCATTGTTTCCACAGTGGAAATATTCGCTGTGTTCTGAAAAACATTATTCTCAAAGATCCATTTTGGATTAGCTTTTCTGTGAAGCCAATTCAAGTGGAAAGTTTTATTTTAATGTTTTTAAGACTGCCGAGTTGTCAAGAGCAATGCATCATATGTTGGAACGAACCAAGTCTTTGTAATCATGCCTAACAGACTCTTGAAGGCTTCAGATGGAGACGCACCAAATACTAAGAGGAGGAGCCGTTTTGGATATGGAATAGAGGAGTTGAGCCATTTTTAGCGTACGGAGATGAAGCTGCAAATTGACTCTGATCTATGGTGATTTGAGTCTAGGGCAATAGTCAAACCAAACATGGGCCTAGATATGGTGATATATTCTTTTTATAATTCTATGGCCCCACAACGGAAGACGACGGACATGATGAACGTCCTAGGGTATAAGAAAAGAAAGGCGGTGACAGTGGCATAGGGCCTGTCCGGGAGAGCTCTAGCTCTAAAAAATCAGATCCAAAGCACTAGTTTCACTCAGATCCACCATGGAGCATCTACATCGTGGACCTAGACTCTCACAAAATTGTTTCGGACAGTTCCATTGTAGATCTAGATTCACCATGTTGGGCTGGCCAACATACAGTCAATAGGCCCACGCGTCAGGCTCTTTATCTACGCCATAAAGTTTGGAGCAGAGCACGATCGACAGGAGGGCAACGTCCGCACGGCTGGCGGAGCTTGGCACATGGCCGCCGGCGGGGCGGCTCCTGCACAGCGGTGCGACAGCATCTATGCACGGATGGCGGTGAAGCTTGGTGCGCGATGGAGCAGGGCTGGCGGCGTTGGTCATGGCTCGACCATGGCTTGGCCGGGCGCAGGATTGCACAACGAGGTCGAGGCGCCATGAGGGCAGGGCTGAGCATGGGAGCGGCCACGGCGGCGCCAGCCAAGGCGCGGCTAGGGAGGAGCTGAGCACGACCATGAGCACGGGGAGGACTACCTAACGAAAAGAAGAACCAGAAAGAAGAAAACAACTGTTCCCTTTGTGTAATGAGTATCATGGTGGCTAATTTTACAAAACTCCACCAAGCTTGAGTTTTTAGAGCTCTCTTTGAGATGCTCACAGAATCCATGGATGAGGGGGGGTGGGGTTAGATCTATGGATTTCGTAGAACTGCTCTATGGTGGATCTGTGCGGAGCTAAAAGCGTTTGATTGAAAAATGGAAGTAGAGTTGTTACGTGCTGGAGCTCTCCTAAACAAGCTCATCCTTTCTTCCTTCGAGCACCAAACCAACCTGAAAACAAGCGGTTCCTCCTTCATCCGCATAGCATCAAACTCGCTCTTCAAGGTTTGTAATTGCACCTCCTTGACGCGATCAACACCTACAAACCTTGCCTTCAGTGAATCCCACACTTCCTTCCCCTTCTTCTTCTTCGCGACTTGCATCAAGAGATCATCAAGCAGGCACTGAAGTAGGTCTGCCCGCACCTTCTTGTCCTTCCTCGCCTCGGCTAAAGTCTGCCCTTTGGGTAGATGTCCCCGCCGGTGGCTCCAGCCTCCATGATCTCCCACACACACCTTGATCCTCCATGATCGCCTACACTCGGATGCTCCAACTCGCGTAGTTGGTTGCCGTCAACGGAGGGTACGTGATCTGCCCACCACTGCCAACTCCGCTGCCAACTCCACCACCGTCGGCACTCCGATGATCATCCATTCGAGAGATCAAAAGGTAATTAGTGTGTGATTATGGATCTGATACCAAATGTTAGCACCTAGGATCACAAACGCACCTAGTTATCACGGTGTCTAGCATAGAACACAGGGAACATGCAAGAACAAAGAAGTACACGAACTGCAACTGCCAGAGGACAGTGCTATTTTCACTGATGTGTAATGAACAGTACAAACACGATTACACTGGTTGCAATGCGATACGAAATATGAAATTCCAGCTACTTATATCAGTAGCTTACAAACATAATTCAAAACTTAAACAACTGCTAAAACGAGATACACGGAGACTTCAGCGTAAAACCACCTGGGCGTGCACGACGTGGGCGCGGTCACCAGCACCCTCCGCGTCAACTGCTCCCGCCGTGTCCACTAGAATTCGAATGGCTTGCTCCTGCCACTCCAGCAAGCACGCAGCTCCTTTGGCTTCAGTGAACAGCAGGCTTACACCAACATCCATGACATATCGTCCATTGTTCCTAACGCAAACTGCAGTGTGCAGTGCCGCATGCCTAAGCATCACTTAAGCAAGCGGCTTCAACTTGGGGACGAGGACAAGGGGCACCCGCGGCGGCGTCGAGAGCCCCGGCGCCTCGACCATGTCCAGGTCCGCCGGGCGCTTGCCGCTGGGGAGCTCCCAATCGAAGTGGCGCAGGAGGCTGGCGAGCGCGAGCTCCAGGCCTGCCAGCGCGAAGCTGATGCCGGGGCAGATCCTCCGCCCCGCGCCGAACGGGAGGAGCTGGTAGTCCGTCCCCCTCAAGTCCACCGCCTTCGCCTCGCTGCCGGCCAGGAACCGCTCCGGCCGGAACTCCTCCGGCGCGTCCCACGCCGCGGGGTCCCTCCCGATCGCCCACGCGTTGACCAGCAGCGCGGTCTTCGCCGGGATCTCGTACCTGCCGCCTTGCACGGCCGCCGCGGTCATGGACTCGCGCGGGAGGAGTAGCGGCACCGGCGGGCGGAGCCGGAACACCTCTTTCACAACCGCCCTCAGGTAGACCATCCTGTTCAGCTCCGCGTCTCCGATGGCCGTTAGCTGCTCGGAGTTGCCGGCCACGCGCGCGATCTCTTCCTGCAGCTTGGCCATAACCCGCGGGTTTCGGGCGAGCTCCGCCATGGCCCATTCCAGCGTCACGGCTGTTGTTTCCGTCGCCGCGGCTATCATGTCCTGCATGCACGCCACGCACGGAGGTCAACGCAAGGAATGGATCGTCGCCGGGATCAGGCGGACCGCGGACGTTCAAGATTTTCGACAATCAGAAAGAAATGGATCTGTCATCGATCACCTTGGCGATGGCTTTGATGGCATCGTCGTCCGTGAGCTCGAAGCCTTCGAGGCCGCCTTCTTCCCTCAGCTGCAGGAGGACGTCCAAGAAGTCACCACCCTGTCCCTGCCCAGCCGGCCTCGTCTTCTCCTTGTGCTCGGCCACGATCTCCGACAGGAACCTGTCCCAACCCGCGTTCATGTCGTCGATCTTCTTGTCGAGCCCCGTCGCCCACCTGAACACCCTTGCCGCCGCGTCCGGCAGCACGTCGTCCGCCTGGAACCCAGCCAGCAGCGTCGCGGTGTGCGACAGCAGCTGCCTCAGCCTCTCGGCCGTCGTCCCGGCGGTCCCGGCCGCCGCGCGGGTGACCACTGAGTTAGTGTAGCCGTACAGGAGCTCCTTCACCTGCACGGCCTCTCCCGCCTCGGCGGCTCGCCGGGTCCGCGCCACCAGCGCGGCCGCCTCTGCTTGCCGCACGGGCGCGAACGCGTCCACGCGGCGCTGCGAGAGGAGGTGCACCACCGCGACCTTCTTGGCCCGACGCCAGTGGTCCCCGTACGGCGAGAAGGAGATGTTGCGGGAGCCGTACGTCTGCTTGTGAGCCGACGCGTTGTACGGGCGGGAGGAGAAGGCGAGGTCGTGGTTGCGGAACAGGTCCGCGGCCGCCGCGGCCGTGGACACGACTAGGGTCCGCCGGCGCCCGAGCTGCAGGAGGAGGAGCCCCCCGTCGCCGCCATAGCGGAGGTGCAGCTGGTGCAGGGACCGGTGCGGGAGGCGGCCGATGAGATGGAGGTGACCGACCAGCGGCAGAGACGAGGGCGACGGCGGGAGCTTTCTCCTGCTCCACCGGTTCTTGACGATGTAGAGGAAGCCGAGAAGAAAAGCAGCGCCGGCGACGGCGAGCACGAAAGCAGACATCTCCTCCTCACTCTGCCGGCTACTGAGGCTGAGGCAGACAAGATCGGAACGACTTCGCTCAACCAGCTCTATTTGTTTATAAATTAGTACTATTATACTAGTGATAATCACTGTTAGTCCTAGGTAAAAAAAATCTGCCGGCGGCTACTGAGGGAGGACTTTGCTCAACCAGCTCCATTGTTTATAGGGCTTGTTTAAGAATGCTCTATCAAACATCTCGCCAACTCCATAGTGGAGCATTTCCACAGAAAACTTGGATTTTCTATCTCTTTGGTTGGCTGGAAATAATTTGACCTGAGTCCTGGTATGCAGGCTCAAGCTGTTTGGTTGCTTGTATGCCATCCTGTATCTCGTCCGACACGTGCAGCCAGCACCTCATAGCCTGACTCGCAAGAATCAGATTTAGAATCGCGAGAGAGCGGCGATGCATGCACAAGAGTAGATTAAGGCAACCAAACAACTGCTCTACGCAATCCTGGCTCTACGGATAAGGCAACCAAACAATAATGGTTGGTAGTGTCTATGGTCAAATCTGTC